AGGGTCCGCTTGGCTGGACGGCAGCTGGTTTTCCTGCTGTGTTGGCCGGACGGATCTCTTGGACGCCTCGGGCAGTCCTTGCCATAGCAGGGTCCTGGCTCATGCCGGGTGGACCGCGCTCTATGTGCATTGCCTGGCTCCCCTTCTATTCCAGGAGCTGGGTTGAGACACCCCTCCTCATCCCAGCAGGGACAGAGAGCGATCTGGGTGTCCACAGGACTCCCAGGAAAAGACCCCACAGCCAGGGTAGCTGGTAGCGGAGTGTGCCCCCACCCCGCGGTCTCTGTCTGCCTCGTTAGTGCACCACTGTCCCTGTCTGGGCAGCCAGGGTTCTGCTTTTCTTCCCTCACTTGAAATGCACTTTGACATTTTCGAACAAATAACACAATTTTCCCTTTGTGTTTCCCTTAATAAAACACAGAAATGAGAGCAAGAAAAAGAAAGTAAAAAAACATGTTCCTGTCATCTCCACTCTATAGCGAGGCCGGCCCTCCCTCTCCCGGGCCCCTCCTTTCCCGCAAACATCCGTATCTGCCTTCTCCATCCTCACTCCTCTCCCCAAAACTTGGCCGCAAAGATTCACGAGTCTGATATTTCTGCTTTTATGTTTTCTGCCATAGGAAGGGGCAGCCACAGCTGGTCTGCACGTCTCATCCCCATCTGCCACACACTGCTCTTTGACTGCAGACAGATGCCGGGGCATCTCCCACTTGAAGAAGCACCCCCCAGCTGACCAGGTCTCTGCACACCCTCTCTCAGGGCCCCATGGATGTTCCTCATTCTTGGGCCCTTGCCTCCCTTCCCCGGAGATAGCAGCTTCCAGGCCCACCTGGCAACAGCCCCGTATTTTCCTCCTCCAAGGAAAGTTCTAGGCTTACGTCATAGGCCCTGGATCTCCTGAAGTATACTCGCGGTTGCAAGTGTCCAGAGGTTTGGAACAACTGCCTATCTCCCAGCAGAAAGAAAGGTTTCATTTTGACACTTGCATACAAACACCAGATTGTCCAAATGGAGTTGGGGAAAGACGTGGCCCAGATGGAAAAGGACTTCAGGGGCTTTGCTGGTAACACAGACGAAGTCACTCAGCAGGGGCAGCCTCTGAGAACGTTCACACAAAACCAAGCCACGCTCATTGGTGTGCTTTTGCCTGAGCAAGGTAGGAAACGTGTTTTGAGAAATACATTTTCGCCAGATAGTCACAAGACACCTGGGCGCTAGGTTCGTGGCAGACGCAGATTAGGAACAAAGGGGGCAGAGTAGCCAGGGCAGCTCTGACCAACATCACAAAGACCTGGGGAGGAGGATGTGATGCTCTGAATGGCTGACCTAGAGGAGTCAAGGGACTGAGGGAAATGCATGCCAATCGAATGTCAACCAGAGTCACACCACTTCCAATAGAGTCACACCACTGTAGGCTCACTTCCAATTCTCCACTTCTGTAATGTGAGCGGTCTGTTCTGCAGCCACTTAGCTGTTTATTTCACAGGCACAGATTCTCAGGAGCCCTGGCTGCTAACTGCAAGATATGCTGTTTGAAACCACCAGCTGCTCCAAGGGAGAAAGATGGGGCTACATACACCTGTAAGAAAGGTATAGTTTGGAAACCCTCAAGGGCAGTTTTACCCTTTCCTACAGGGTCACCATGAGTCGGAATTAACTTGATGGCAGTGAGCACAAATTCTCAAAGGAAAATTCTTCTTTCTGATAAAAGGGAGAAACTGGCTTATTCTTTGTAAAGGACCCCTGGAGGGTGGGCCTCTTTAACTAACAAAGTAAGATAATGGCCGTTAGTGTTTTGCATGGAAAACCACCTAGGAGTCACCTCTCAGCTGAGCTGGGTAGGTTCCAATCTCTACCCTTTTGGTGAGAAGCATTTGACCATTTATGACACCAGGGACTCCTTGATGGCACCAGGGCTGATCATGTGACTGAGACCTGACCTCCATCGTGATGTCTAAGGACCAGCTGGAAAGAGATGTTCACACCCCAACTACGCACCCGACATAATCTGACTACCTTCCTGATGCGTGGGCTATTCGAACGATTTGGACCCCTGATCAATGTGCATCTATCTATTCGAAGGCTTTGCTCAAAAAGGAGCACTCTTTCTATTAGTCACGCAAGCTTAATACATTCAAGACTGATAAGGGGTTGAAAAGCCACCTTAGCATTTAAAAATAATCCTTGTGGTTGCTATTTGCCCAATTCTATTTTTTCTTGCCTAACTTTGATTTGATATATTAAGAACACTTGCGTTTCATATTTTCTTTCACATCCGTCTCTACCTGGGCTGGCAAGAAGGACAAAGAACATGTGTCAAGGGACATGCCACCAGCCAGCCAGGCAACCCCAGGCAAATATCCTAGCTGCTCTAAGTCCCCAAGATTCATCTTAAACCACGGATAAAACTATTTGTTCTGCCTACCGCACAAGTTTGTTGTAAAGATCAAGCAACATCAAGTGTGTTGGAAGTATCCGGAAAAGTATAAAGCAACATACAAGTGTAAAGTATTAAACTCGTTGCCCTTTTCCCTGGTTCCTCTGAAACCATATTGAGTGTTTGGCTTGCTCTGGCTGGTGGAAAGCACTTAGGATGGTGAGTGAGGTCATGCTCCAAAAGCAAATTGGAGCAAGTTGCTACCCACGTGTTTTCTTTAAAAAGAAGGATGTGGCCCTGTCCTTGAAGAAGGTAATCAAAAACGTTTGCTATGTGGCATCATTCTCTGCTTGGATTCATTTTGCCCAAGTGCCTGCCAATTTCAGCTCTGCTCAGTTCAGGAGCAGCAAAGGCGCCCCTGGAAATCTGATGTAATCCAACCTCCCTGGCCTATTCAGTTGGTTGACACTGACCCGGCAGACTCTGAGCTCCTTTGCCCTGATTGCTCCTATTTTAGCCAGGTTTGTTGTAAAGACTAAAAGAGTAACCAGGCCTGGCACGAGATAGGTGTGATAGCCAGTGTGTGATTTTATTGATTGACCATCTACTTGTGGGCCAGGCATGATCTTTCTGGGATACACAGACGATTAAGACCCTGCCCTTATCCCTGGAAGGACTTAAGGTCTATCATTGTAAGGGAAAGCTAGAGGTGTGAGAGGTTAACACCCCCACCCCAATACTTTGTTCTCCTAAGCACGACCCTTCACCCCCTCTTCCCCCCACCCCAATACTTTACCCCGCTAAGGTCCCTCCGCTGATTTCTCTGTCGTGGCGGGCTCCATGGCTGGCCGTCAGATTCTATCTAATCTCTCAAAGGGGCCAGGTTTAAACGCTGTCCCTGGGTGCCTTGGCAGCTGCACACCCCATTGGTGAACCGTTTCGAACGCATTTGCGATCTAAAACGCGGGAAGCTGTAAACTTGCTGGAGCCCCAGATGATAGAGAAGGGCTCTCAAGAGCTCGGAGCTACTGAGCCCCGCAAGCTATTTGCAGGCAAGCGACTTCTAGGCCCGGGGTGCAGGCCGAGTTGAGTCTCCCCTCCCGTCCGCGCTGTCCTTACTGTAACTGGCTGGAGAACGGTTGGGCAAGGAGCGTGCTGTCACCTCGGTCCAGGTGGCGTGGAGACCTGGGCCAGGTCCCAGCACGAGGGTACGGAGCCGGGGACGGCGACTGGGCCAGCGCGACTGGAGTTCGCAGTTACACGTGGAGGGGTGGAAACTTCAGCCGTCCCGGAGGTCGCAGGGGTGGAGGGGCGCACCGGCCGCGGTGGCGAGGTGGGCCGCGCAGCTCCGCTCGGAGAGGGAACGCCACGGCCCGGTCGCGGGACGCGCTCCCAGCCCCCCTTCCTGCGCACCCCACCCCCTTCCCTCCGCCGCGCACGCAGCGCCGCGGCCCCGGACTGAAGCGGCCGGATCGGACCAAGCGAAGCAGGGCCCAACTCGCACCCAGGACCCGGAGCCCCAGCCTTCCCTCGGAGCCCGAGCCTCAGAGAGGCGGCCGG